ACGGCGACAAGACGTTACAGTACCTATACTAGCAGATAGCGGGGGCATACATACGCACGCGTTTTTCGCAGAGTAATGAAATCGAAAAAAATCGAGATGATTGCTCGGCTACGCGTGCGTACACGTAAAACATAAAAGTTCGTTCTCGTATAGCCAGCCAAAAGAATTTGGCGGCAAATATTATGCGCATATGTCGGAATAGATGGGAAAAATTTTGCGCCGTAAACCTGTCGGCTGTTTTTTTGCAGGGCAGAATCGCGACGCGAAGAAAAGCAAAAAGAAACCCGCGTGCGGAAAATTTCACATGATAACTGTCCGCGGGCGTGTTCGCGAAACGAGCAAACGTGAAACACAAACGTGGATTCAATCCTCTAGAACCTCTCATCTCCTTAGAATCGGATCCGACGGATTACAGATTAAAGGACTAAACATTTAACGGAGAACAGATTTAGAACAGATTCAGAGAGAACAAAGAGAACAGATTTACGAACTAAAGATCACGTATACAATTCGCCAAGAATGCGTAGGTTTGGAAGAAAACGCCGCACTCCTTTCGCCAGAATCCGTCAGGCTCACCTGCCGCCGATTGCTTGGGATCGATGAATCGCCATGGCAACACGATAACAGTTAATACGGAAACTAACCCGGTGTCCACAAAATTCTCCGGAACCGCTACTGAGACGAATTTAAAACAGTGGCTGGCATCGGAAAATAGTCCGGAAGATAAAGGGAACGATGCAGGACAAGTCATTCAGATACGGGGATGGAGAGGAAGATAGACATCATAGAGACACGGGGGGGGGGGCGAGGTACGGGTACAAATAGACATCATAGAGACACGAAGGGGGGAGGCGAGGTACGGGTACAAATAGACATCATAGAGACACGAAGGGGGGGAGGTCCGGGCACAAATAGACGTCATAGAGACACGAAGGGGGGAGGCGAGGTACGGGTACAAATAGACATCATAGAGACACGAAGGGGGGGAGGTCCGGGCACAAATAGACGTCATCCGGGAGTACACGGAGGAGAAGGCGAGGTCCGGTTACAGGTAGATGGGTCAATAGAGACACGTGGGGGACGGCGAGTTGTCGCGGTGTAACGATAGACCGTCATAGAGACCCGGGGGTGGGGGAGTCGAGTACAGATAGAGTGAAACGTCATGAGGACACGAGGGGGAGGTCACGGGTTACAGATAGTATGGCATAGAGACAGGCGTGGAGGGGAGGAGTCCGGGTAGCAAGATAGAACGTCATAGAGGACACGGAGGGGCGGAGGTTTCGGGTACAGATAGGACGTCATAGAGACACGGAGGGGCGGAGGTCCGGGGTACAGATTAGACGTCATAGAGACATGGGGGGAGGCGAGCGCCGGTACAGATAAGACTCAATAGAGACACGGAGGGCGGAGGTCCGCGAGTACAGATAGACGTATATGGAGACACGGGCGAGAAGAGTCCGGCTGTACAGAATAGACAGTTCATAGAGGACGGGGGGAGGTGAGGTTCCGGGTACAGATACGACGTCATAGAGACCACGGGGGGGGGGAGGTCCGGGTACAGAATAGACATCATAGAGAACACGAGGGGGCAGGGAAGGGTCCGAGTACAAGAATGACGTTATAGAGACACGGGGGAGAGAGGTCCGGGTAACAGATAGATCATAGAGACACGGAGGGAGAGGGAGTCCGTTGTACAGATAGACGTTCATAGAGACAATGGGGGGAGGGTGAGGTCCGGGTAACAGATAGGCGTCATTAGAGCTACACGGGGGTAGGGGCAAGGTCCGGGTACAGATAGACATCATAAGGACACGGGGGGAGTCCGGGTACCAAGATAGACGTCATAGAGCACATGGGGGGAGGGGCGAGGTCCAGGTTACAGATAGGGACTACGTCATAGGAGGACAGCGGGGTGAGGTCCGGTACAGATAGAAGACGTTCATAGAAGGACCAGTGGGGTGGGAGTCCAGGGTACAGATAGAACATCATAGAACACGGGGAGGGGAAGGTCCGGTAACGATAGACGTCATATGAGACACGGGGGAGGTGAGGTCCGGTAAACAGAGATAAGACGTCACTCAGAGACAACGGGGGGGGGGGCCGGGGAGTCGCGAGTAACGAGGAGTAGACATCATGAACGACCGGGGAGTGTCCGGAGAAAAGACAGAATCAAGACGTCATGACGAGACATGGGGGGACGGGGAGGTCGGTACAGACTAGACGTCATAGAGACAAGCCCCGGGACGGCGTGGGTGCAGGGGCCGGGGGACGTTGGTGGGCAGGGGGGCGGGGCGGGAGGTGTGTCGAGAGGGCAGACGGAAGAGGTCTGCAGAGGTCTCGTGGTGTACGATGGCAGACGAGAACACGGAGTCGATGAAGAGACACGCGGGGAGAGGCCGAAGGTCCGGGTATCAGATAGAATGGCATAGAGACACGGGGAAAGGCAAGGTCCGGGTTACAGATCAGACATCATAGAGAACACGGAGGAGCAGGCGAGTCGCGGTACCGATAGACTCATAGAGACACGGGGGGGGTTCGGGTAACAGATAGACGTCATAGAGACACGGGCGGCCCGACGCGGGGGGGAGGTCCGTGGTACAGAATAGAAGCGTCCATAGAGACACGGGGGGGGGGAGGTCGCGTGTAGCAGATACAGGACGTCTAAGAGAGCACGGGGGGGGGGGGAGGTCCGGGTTACAATAGACGTCATAGAGACACGGGGGGGGGAGGTCCGGGTACAGATAGACGTCATAGAGACACGTGGGGAGGCGAGGTCCGGGTACAGATAGACGTCATAGAGACACGGGGGGAGGGGCAAGGTCCGGGTACAAATAGACCAATTTTCCGTGTGGCCAATTTTCCTGTGACGGATTAACCTTCACCCGTGGGCAGAAGGGGACGTGAGGCCTGACCTTATATAGACGTACACAGCAATAAGCAGACCTGTTAAGCACGGACCCCTGCTCACGTGGCATTCTAACCATGGTACAAGGTCTCTGTCATCGTGAGGAGGCGACGAACAGATCTGCTTATCATCAAGTATGTGTTTCCATAGCTTCCATAGCTTCCACGAACAGCGGTCTCGACTCTTAGATGGAACGGCGACAACTTTAGAAGGCTGTGTTACTAGGTTTTAGCTAGGACGGCGGGGTGGCGGGAATTCTGGCGTCAAGTCTTCAAATCGAATGACGTCATTCCTCATCGAGCGGCGCGTTTAAGCCATAATTTAAATATTGTTTGTTTGCCCTCACCCGACCGACCCGCCAAAAAGGGGCCGACTCAAACAATTTTATTGATCTTTCCCATCCTTTTTTATTTACAAATTGTATCACTGTACATTATATAAATCTGTAAGCAATACATTATTATATGTACCAAGCAAAACAAACATTCAACATAAAAGGTATCTCCACACAAGCACACCCGAGCATGTAGACACCATGCTGAAATTGTAAAAAGACCCCCCTCGAAAAAAAATCCTACCTACCTACACAAACTTTTCAGCTTAGGTCGAGTGAGGGCAAACAAATATTTTTTTAATTGTGGCCTTATCGTGAAATTCGCGTCCAATATAAATAATTAAAATCGTGACATATTCGTCGCGCTCTACAGTTTTAGGTTTTCGGTGTTTGCAATAGAGCGCGTATCGGTATCAACGCCGCAGCAGACTGCCTATAACACGCGACATGTCAACACCGACAGACGCTGTGAACGGAGGTAAACGTTGCGCTGTTTTTTCCCCATTTTCGAGCAGCGATTTTCGAGCACGACGAGACAGAGCAGAGCGCAAACGCCAAGGGTTTGTCTATATTCAGGCCGGTACAGGAGATAATTTGCATATTTTATCACGTGGTTTGTGTTATAACCAATCAGATGTAATCGCGTGTTCGTGACGTCACTTCCAGCTGTGAAGAAGATGGTGAAGGAGGAGGAAGGGGAGAAGGGAGAAGGTGGTGGAGAAGGAGGAGGGGAGAAGCTGGTGGAGAAGGAGGAAGGGGAGAAGGGAGGTGGTGGAGAAAGAGGAGGGGAGAAGCTGGTGGAGAAGGAGGAGGGGAGAAGCTGGTGGAGAAGGAGGAGGGGAGAAGGTGGTGGAGGAGGGGGAGAAGCTAGTGGAGAAGGAGGGG